CCTGGTGACTGTCGTCAGCCACTGGCAGGCGAGGACAGCCAGGAGCTGGGTGCCGAGTGCTGGGAGGAGCGGCACACAGAAGGGGGTGACGGCCTTGTGCTCGAATCTGAGTCTCACAGGGCCAGGCAGCAGCTGGTGGGCGCGGGCACAGACAGGAGCCAAGTTGCAGGCCAGGTCTCTGGAGGACAATGGGGTGACCTCAGCCTCCCGACTCTGGGTCTCGCCCTTCTGTCTGAGGGACGAGGTGGGGTCCCGCCCCCAGCTCTGTGGGAAGGGCCCAGACTGCAACCCCTTCCCCGGTGCCCACTGCAGCCTTGGGGGCAGATCTCGAGTCTGTGGCCTTGGCCAGGCCTGCACCGGCTGCCTGCACGTGCTCAGCGCCAGCGCCAAAGCCCACCTGACTGGTGCCCAGGCCCCCAGCGGGGTGCAGGCCCCTCCATGCGACCCCCGAAGGAAGGTGACACAGGCGCGGCCAGCAGTGGTCCTGGCAGTGCTGCAGGGGTGGAAGCTGGTGGCCCGCACTGCCCTGAACCAGGCCCACAGGCTCTGGGACAGAAAGGGCTCAGGCCACATGCGGTGGGGGACAGGGGCAGTCATGCGGGGAGGGGCTCTGTGCAGGACACAGCCCCACAGTAGGGCGACGCTACCATCCACCGGGACCTGCAGCTTCCCCGTGACCTGTCCAGCCAGCACCCTGCATCCACTCGGGGCAGGGAGACCGACAAACAGCGGGGGTGACGTCTCCTTCCAGCTTGGCACTTTCCATGCCAGGTGGGGCCGAGGACAGAGGCCAGGCCCACTGTGGGCCACACTCCAGGGAGCCCGGGGAGCCCGCCTATGTGGGGTGAAGGACCGCACGGGCCTCACTGACATCATCTCCTACCCTCGGCACGTCCTTCTGAACCTGGGTGACCCCAGGTGCCCCACCCAGAGCTTGCTTCATCTGCACCTTGGCATCTGGAGCCTCAGGACACTGCCCAGCGCCTCCAGGGGGAAGCCCCACATGCTGAGACTCCGAGGGGACCACGGGGGGACAGAGGCAGGCTTGGCCACACGGGGTCCGCCCCGTGGAGACCCAAGTGCAGCAGCTGCCAAGGCCAAGCCCCTGGAGCCCCTTATTCCTCCCTCCCTGCTGCCACCTGGCCCCAGCCCTCGGGAAGCAGGCTGCCCGGGGAAGGACAGGCAGCCAGGCAAAGGAGCGGGCAGCGGGAGCCCAGGCACCAGGTCCTAACTCTGGGGGGAGCAGGCCGGGCCCCGTGACTCACCTTGGGAAACGAGGAGGCTTCGGGTGGCCTGGCCACCCTCAGTGGCCGTAGGAGTCCACAGCAGAAGGCACCTGGGGGCCGGAGCCCTGTGGCCCTGCTCCTGCCTGCAGCCAGCCTCATTCCCCCTCCGCCGGTCCCTGAGGGCCCTCGAACCACCCACCCGTGGGCCCGGCAGAGCCCAGATCGCTGTGACTCACAAGGACTCCGTGGGGATGGGGCAGTCGGAAGAGGCAGTCAGGGATGGAGGAGCAGGAGGGGCCCCAGTCTAGGCTAGAGGGGCGCAGGAGCCAGGGGAGGGCCGGAGCCCCACACCCTCAGAGAGGGGCCCGGTGGCCGGCCTGGCAGAGCTGGGTGCTTGCAGTCACAGGGATCTGACAGGACCTTGTCCACTCTGCTTCTCCCCGGGTTTTATGGGTGAGAACAGAAGCCGCAGGAATCGTGGTGCCTGAGCGCTGGTGAAGAGGGAGGGGGTTGAGTGGACGAGATGGGAGGGGGTGGGGCAGGCGGGCTCCCGGGAAGCCACCGAGGTGACACAGAGGACAGCAAGGCGCCCTGGGCCGGGTGGGGCGACAGAGCAAGGGGTACCCCAGCGCGCCTGAGTCGGAGGTAGGGTCAGAGCTGGGCAGCAGGCGTCTGAGAAGGCGCGAGCTTGTCTGGAAGGGTTGCCCAGAGCCCTGGCCAGGACGAAACTACCGGGCAGACACTTGGTCTTAAGCAATGCAGGATTTGAGAGAATTTTCAGATTTTGGAAAATCCGCATAGACTTTGCCTTCCCTCGTGTGAAAACCCCAAATCCCAAGGCCAAAGTGCGCCAACATCCAACATTTTCGGGGGTCACTCCTGTGTCTAAGAAGTCTTGGATTTCAGGACTTTTAGAGCTGATTTCTGGCAGAATACCACCCAATCCCTGGTTCTGCCACTGGGGAAACTGAGGCCCACGCAGCTGAAGGGGCTACTTCGAGGCCTGTGAGTGTGAGCTTAGACCTCTGGGCCCAGCCAGGTTTTCACTCTGGGGGATCGAAACTCACCTTCTGCCCTGGCCACGGACCGCACGCGCACTCACTGGCTGCCTAACACAGGCCATTTGTCCAGACTGGATTAGCCCCGAGGGGCTGTCAAGGGAATGCTGGCAGATGGGCTGCACAGCAAGGCTCACCTTTAATCCAGTGAAAAACATTTATCCGGATCCTCGACAGGTAAACATGGGAGCCGCTCTGTTGCAGAACTCCTAACGAGTTTCAGCTAATGACTCAGCTACCTATTGTTTCTGGTGTGTCACAAAGGAACTGAAAGTACACCCGGCACGCTTTGTCCCTCCACTTTGCCCCCCACAGCATTGTCTAAGTGGTGAAGTTGGCTAAGCGAGGAGGTCCAAGGCATGAAATTCCCTGAAAATATAAACCCTCTGGGTCACCTGCGGCACAGAGCAGCAGCGAGGCTGCGCCAGGTTCCGGTGTAATTTTTGAGGAAACTGCGCAAACCCTGAACCCAGCAACACCAGGAGGCCCTTGGAGCTGCTAGTGTTACTGCGCTGCAGGAGGGTGACCGGTGACCAGGCCCTCCTCTCCCGGCCCAGTTTGGGGCACAGTGGTTAGCGCAGTCACAGGAGGGAGCACCCCAGCCAGCTCCTCCCACGGGTCTGCCAGGGAGGAGGTGCTGGCTCCTCCCTGGGGAATTCCCAGTGTAGGTGCTGGTATATTCCCAGGAGGTGAGGCCCGGGGTCCCAGTCTGTACCCTCTGAGCAGCCCCTTCTGGTCACCGGGCCATGGGAGCCCCTGATGCTGGTGCTGGGCCAACGGGCAGAGCAGCGCATGAGATCCGCTGGCCCTTCCTGCAGCGCAGTGTGGGGCCCACATGCCACATTCATTCCCTGGCCAGCTACCAACGCCGTGTGTGTCCCGGGCACTGTGCCAGGGACTGAGTACACAGCAGTGGGCAACATGGATGTGGTCCCCACCTTTGGGAAATTAGTAGTCTCATGGAAAGACAGGCAGTAATAAAGCAGCAAACCAGCTATTACGAACCGCCACAAGTATGTGCTAGGAAGGCACCAGGGAGGGCGCTGGAGGCCCGCAGAGAGTGGGGGCAGCAGGGAAATGCTGGGCTCTATCTTGTGCCAGGTGTGGGCAGGGGGCAAGGAGGAACATTTGAGGCAGAGGTGGTGACCTGGGCCACTGCCAGAAGCAGGCAGGAACTGGACCGACCATCCCAGGCCCACAGCTGTGTGGCGTGTCGCGACCCTGTGGACCGAGCCAATCCTCCGAGCAGAGCGTTTCTGCAGGGCTGGTGGGGTGGGCAGGACCCAACCTGTGCTCCGAGATCCCAGCAAAGAGGGGAGCAGGAGCTCCTCGGAGCCTCTGAGAGAGGGGAGGGCGTTTGGGGTGCAGCTGCCACCAGGCTGTCTGTGGCAGGAGGGGAAGCCGCCTTCCTGGAAGCCAGGTGAGCACAGAGCCCCGAGCCCTGCTGCAGTGCCCGGCCGGCAGCTCGTGATGGGATGGGGGGGCTCGGAAACCTCCTGGGTACAAGAGCAGTGACCACGGGAGGGCTGCAGGCTCCTACAGCTTGGACGCTGCAGGTCTCACCAGCCTGGGGTACAGGGGCCCCACATGGCACCGGGAGCAGACAGCGCTGGCCGGGGTGCCCGGGGTCAGCCTTTCCTCCCTAAGGAACCCCTGCAGGGCCGGAGCCTCCAGACCTGTGGCTGTAACTGTGACCCCTGCAGCCGCGCACACCTGAGGGGAAGCCAGACTTCCCGACTGGGTGCAGTAGTCAGCAGGAACAGCTGACAGCAACGGTAATAAAGCTTATTTAAAACCCAGGAATTGTTTATTTCTGGAATTTCCCCTGCATTTTTAGACCAAGGTTGACTACAGGAAACTGAAGCCTCAGAAAGTGAGATCCACACTCCCATACCTTTGTGTTGAGATGCAGGAACTGGATGATTTTCTGCCCATCTGGGGGTGCTATGGTCCCTTCGAGGACACAGGCTGCGGACTGAGGTCGCCTCGGGGATAACAGGCCCACGAGGCGCCTCGGCTATGCCCACAGATACAAGAACACCCCTCCTGCTTTGCCTGTGGGGAGCACAGTAGGGGACCCAGCATTCCCAGGGGAGCCCACAGTGCCTAAGTCCCAGAGCTGGAGGAGCGAAAGGTGAGGCCGCTCCAGACCCCCCTACCCAGCCCCTGTGTCGCCCGCCCTCCCCAGGTCCTTCTGCCTCCAGGCCTGGAAGCAGCCATGCCTCTCCCTTGGTGAGGAGCCGTCCTCAAGGTCCTCCGGCTCTGTCTGCTCCCGGAACTCTCGACATGCACTCCTTCGCAGGTCCTCTTACCCACCATGCTTGGGCAGCTGAAGCCAGACCCCAGCGTGGGCTCCATGGCCCTCACCTAGGCGGAAAGTTCACAGTGTGCTGTCTTTGGTGTACAGGAGAGGGGGCTGCCCGGCTCTGCACCAAGGGCCCTGAGTGAGGAGCTTTGAGGACCCTGCTTCCTCTGCTCCCACTGGAAGAGCGAGGAGCCCCCATGGCAGGGCTGCAACTCGGGGAGCTGCTTGCTCAAAGTGGGGGCCACACACCTCCCACCAGGGGTTGCTGGCTCCCCGCCTGGGGTGACAAGGGTGCTGGCCCTGAGACTAAGCACTCGGGAATGTTTCTAGAAATGCGATGCGGTAACTCTAGGCCTGTGAATGCTGGTAAAAATCCAGCTGGGATTTTTTTAAATTTATTTTTGCATTTCATGTTTTTAAACTTTTATTTTTATTAGTACGTGGTTGCAAGTACATAATGACTACATTCACTGCGAGGAGCTGGTAATCTTAATTCCTTATTGCATTTCATTTTTCTTTAAACTGGCCTGGTCGCCACACCTGGGATCTCAGCTACTAGGAGGCTGAGGCAGGAAGGCTGCAAATTCCAGGCCATCCTGGGCAATTGAGGAAAATAAAAAACAATAAAGGCGGTGGGTGTGGGTCACAGGTAGAGCACTTGTCTGGTCTGAGTGAGCCCCTGGGCACAAGGAAGACAAAAGTTCAAAGCTGGACGCATCATATTTGTAGATGTTTATGGGGTTCAGTACTATCATTCAACACCTGCCTGCCCTGCAGAATGATTGAACCGCAGTGATTATATTTCTGCCTCTTCAAACACATATCATCCTGTGCCGGGGCGCTCTGGACCATCTGGTTATTTTGAAACATATCATCAACCGCAGGGGACACGGCTACCCAGGTGCCGAGAAAACCAGAGCTCTTCACTGCGCTCTGTCCCCTCCTCTGCCCTAGGCTCCGCTGACACGATTCTCTCTCCACAGGACTGCATTTCATTTCCCATAGATGCATCTCTGCTGTGTTTTATGAACCTGCCCACCTGTGACAGGCTGAACATGAGACCCCAAGAGCTCTTTCCTGCAGACAGCATAGAGGCTGTGGCACTGTCCCCTGCCACCCCGAGGGCCGGGGGCCTTTGACCTCAGGATAAAAGGGAAGAAAAATAACTGCGCTTGTTTGGTTGAGCCACTGGTGGTCAGAGCCCAAAGGTCCCTCTCAGCTGGGGCAGACACAGCCCAAGGTCACAGTGGCTTTGCGCCTGTCCTGCCACGGGGTCCTCCCACTGGGTGAAGTCCGGCGTCTAAGACCCGAGGGTGACAGCGTCCACTGGGTCCTCAGTGAGGCGGGGCCTCTGGGGGCATGGAGAATATAGGCTGGTCCCTTGCTGGTGCTGAGAGGGTCACCTCTGTCCCCACTGGGCCAGGGTCCCCTGGGGGTCAGGGGGCACAGAAGAGCTCCATCTCCAGGTTCTAGAGGACCAGTGGGGCGACCGGGGGCCCCAGCCGGAGTGGCACGCACTGGGTGCAGGTGCTGGAGACTGAAGCCCCTGGCTGCCCCCAGCCAGCAGGGTGGGCAGCAGGCCAGTGACAGATTGCGGGGTGCCCGGCCTGGCCTCCCTGAGCCCCAGAACTGAACTGCTGAGCCTCACTTCCGCCTCAGAGATCTCCCACAGGGGCCTCGTGTGGCTGCCGCCCACCCAGGGCCCACGGGCAGGGGTCTGGGAGTGCAGCTCAGCGGAACTAGGTGGGCACAGTGCGGACCACTGCAGCGCCCTGATGGAAGAGGGCAGGACGGGTCCCCGCATGCAGGCGAGATGCGGACAAGCAGGAGCCACCGCGCCCTCCAGCTCGCCCTCACCTGGAGGAGTCTGGCAGCTCTGGCCACAGGGTCTCCAGCCACCCCGCTCTTTCCGGGAGTCCCCAGCAGCAGCCTCCCTGCCCTGGAGCTCTCCCCAACTGCACAGGCCAGGGCCAGGGTCCGGCACAGTGAGACGCGGCCCCATCCACAAGGCACTGGTTCTCAGTGGGCCGCAGAGGCAGCAGAGTCTTTGTCAGATGCTTTGGACTCAGAGGAGCAGCTTCAGACCAGGCTGCAGCAGGAGCGGGGCTGGACTGGGGTCCCTGCCACACCGGGCACCAGGGTCCACGCCAGTTGGCTGGGAGGAAGGGACTGGAGGAGCGAGAACAGCCAGAAAGTGAGGAAGGCAGCGGAGGGCGAAGGCCTTGAGAGCCGATGCAGGTGGTGGACCAGAGGCACCCCAGTGGGAGAGGAAGCACTCGGAGGGGACAGCAGAGGGTGCTTCCACGGAGCAGTAGGGCCCAGACGCCTGTGGCTGCCCTCCCCACCACTGGCAGCCTCTCCGAGCCGGGATCAACTGGCCAGGGTTCCCAGAGGACCCAGATGTGGGAGGTCCATGGGGGAGCCATGGAGAAGGGAGCTAGAGCTGAGCTCGAACCCGTCCTGGGGCAGAGCGTGGACCTGGCTGGTCCTGCCAACAGCATCACCCAGACACACTGGCTGGCCCTGCAGTGCCGCGTTTTCACGACAGGGTGTGTGCTTGTGCTAAGATGTCATGCATTTCCAGGAAGAGGGGACCGTGTGCCTGGGCACCCTTTCTTCGGAACAGGTCATCCTACCCTAGAAACAGCGGGCACTCGCACCTGTGACTCGGGACTCGCCTGCTCTGGGCCAGTTTCTCTCTCCTCCCAGGCTGCCCTCCACGACCTGCCACCTTGCCCTTGGCCTGGCCCCTTGGGCTTCCGTGCCAGCACCACCCTTACTTCTCTCTGCCCAGCTCTGCCCAGGTTCCAGGCACACCCTGTGGCCTCCCAGCCTCGGGGGAGGAGAGTCACACCCAGCAGGCTCAGAGGGTGACATCTGCACCCCGCCTGGCACACGAGGCAGACACTGAGGTGCAGCAGCGACGTCTTAGTCTGCTCTGCTCTGCAGAGTCCTACAGGCCCCTGGGGAAAGAGCCTGGAATCGAAGCCGGAAGACAGGTGGTGCCAGTCCTGGCCCGGCAACCCCTGGCTTCGGGACTCCAGTGTCCAGTGTGCTGGGATCAGAGGAGTGGATCAGATGCCAAGTCCCCACACCCCCAGCACACAGGCTCTGGGTACAGGTCCGTCCGCAGCAAGACGGGGGTGTGTGGTCTAACCGCACCAGTAATGATGCTAAAAGTGCTCTTCTGGCTGGGCATGGTGCCTCACACCTGTGGTCCCAGCACTCAGGAAGCTGAGGCAGGAGGATCGCCATGAGTTCCAGGCCAGCCTGGGTTACATAACGAGTTCAAGGCTAACGTGGACTACATAGTGAGACCCTGTCTCAAACCCCCCCAAAAAAAAGAAAGAGAGAAAGAAAAAGTGCTTTTCCATTCACTGCACCGATGGCAGCCAGGGCAGCCCCGGAGGGGCCCGCAGCCGGCTCAGCATCTGCGGGTTGCCGATGGGAAGGGCCACGGAGTGCGGAAGTGGTCGCTGTACAAACTGCTCTGGAATAAACCCTATGGTTAAACTAGTTTTGCCAGTTATTTAGCTTCGTTGAGCTTTAGTGTCCCCAGCGTGACCTGAGGTCAATAAAGTGACACCCGCTCCTTGGCGTGTGCACCCTGGTGGCGGCTGTGGGGGACCAAGGCTGGAGCCTGGGAGCCTCAGCCGGCTGCAGGGATCTGAGGGCACAGGTGCAACAGAGGGTGCAGGGCCCGGGACACGGCTCTGCAGCCCGAGGGTCTCCTGGAAGCGCCTGTGGGCCGCTTCCCGCCTGTGTGTGCCTTGGGTGTCCCCTGCTGACCTTTGCGTCAGAGCCTAGCCTCGCCTCCATCCCTCTGTTCTGCGGGCTGGTCCGGCCCGCTGGGCCTGGGCCTCCTTGTAAGTGAAGTCCTCGCGCTGAGCCCAGAGATGGGATTACACTGCCTGTCCCACCATTTCCAAGCGTGGGCGCCGTCAATCCCGCCATCTGACTGACGGATGCACCACCGCTTCAGATTGCATCTCCTTGAACACTAACAAGGCATCACTCTTTCCAGGCCCTTTGCCCTGTGTCACCCTGGGTCCCCAGTACAAAGCGAGGACAGTCTGCCAGGCTGGCACTGGGCTGTGCGCTGCGGAGAAGCCAGACAGCGGGCATCTCGGGGTGCAGAGTGAAAGGTGCAGGCCCTGGCTGGTGGCCTCTGAGAGGCAGGTGGAGAGGGCACTTCGGGCCTGGGGTGGGCATCCCTTTGCCCTTGTGTCCCTGGGCCTCTGCTGGCAAAGGTGGAGAGGTAATCCTGCTTCTGCCTCGCTGTGATGGCTGAGGTCACTGGAGGGATGGCAAGAGCAGTGTCTGGAGGCCCCGGACACCATGTAAGTGCCTTTGTCCACGACCCCAGAGTTATTTGCACACCTAAACCGCCAGCCTGCGGAGGGGTTTCTGCCACACCCAGGCCTGCTCCCAGTGCAGCCCTGTTGGGAGGCGCTAGCACTTTAAGGGGTGGGGCCTATGGGGAGTCTTCAGTTCATGGGGGCGTGGCCTCAGGCCTGGAACCCGCCCCTTCCTCTTCCTTGCCTGGGGATGCAGCCCGGACCTCTGAAACAGTCAAATCCAGCCTTTTCTCCTTATAAGCTGATTTCCCCTGCTATTTCACAGTCATGGAGAGCCAAGTTAGAGTTGGCAAGGACGGGCCATTCGTGAAATTCCAGTGGGCTGACCATGAGGCTTGGGAACCGCTTGGAAGGTGTTCTTAGAGGCTGAGGCCGTGCGGCCAGTTACCCACCAACGACAGGCTGAGCAGTCACTCAGCCGCTGCCTCCCAGTCTCCATCCTGTCCCCCTCCTGCCCCCTGCCTGTGAGTCCTCTTCACAGCCCCTCTGATGAGTCCGTTTCCCAGGCGCCATCAGAGCCAGGCCTGTCAACGCAGCGCTCGGGAGGCTGAAGCAGGAGGGTTGTAAGCTGGAGCCCAGCATGGGCAATTTAGAGTCTTAGTAAGAGTCTTTGTCAAGAATAAAAATGAGTGAATGAATAGCTGGGATGTAGCTCAGTGTGAAGGCCTTGTCTTCGAGCTCCAGCACTGCAAGAAAGGGGGGAGAGAGGAAGGAAGGAAGAGAAGAGGGCGGGCAGGCCACTGTGTGGGCTCAGGGAAGGCGCTGCCCATCAGCTGCACACACACCTGGCCCCGTCCCCCTCTCGGGCCAGCCTTTCACCCACTTGGCCCACTGCCAGGGCCTGGGCTCCCTGCCACCAAGCAGGTCTCTTCTGTCCTTGATAAAGATCAATGATCACAGTGAGGTCCTGGCTGGGTCCCCAGGAAGTTGCAGGCCTTGGCACTGCTGGGGGAGCAGAGGGCAGATTCTGTGGGGCTGGAAGAAGGCCCGGACCTCCCTCCCCCAGATACCTCTTCCCCATCAACCTGTGGCTGGAGGGCAGATGGGTCCTCCGCCCTTCAAGCAGAGCGAGGTCAGCAGCACGACAGGAGGGTTTGAGCAAGCAGCCACTGGCCAGGGCAGCTGGGCCTCTCCTCTCTCTCCTGGAGCTCCGGCCCCCATGCCCACCTGGCCCGGCCGCCCCGTATTGAAGACAGCTCAGCAGTGCACATACTCTGCTCTCAGAGTCAAGGTGGAAGACAGGAACACATCACAGCTCTGGCTGGAGACGCTTTGTTGAAGGTCAGGCTCAAGACAAGGAAGAAAGACCACACCCGTACACTTGCCCTAGATGAATGCTTGCTGCGTGACCGGATCCCCGCTTAATCAATAGTACCTAAGCGACTGTACTTGTCACCTTATTAGTTGACTGTAGTTTTGTTCCACCATAAGGGAAGGGGAACCCGCCTCACCTCGTGGCTTTTTTGTTCTTCAAACCCCCTTGAAGAGCAGGGGCCCCGGCACCCCACTTTCCGGGTCCCCTCTGTCTCTCTTACCCAGAAGCTGTCTTTCTCACAGTGACTTCTTCCTCCTCTTAACCTCTGCTGTTCCTAGAATTCATCCTTCCCTGTTAGAGAACAGGAAGGTGGTGTCAGGCATCTATCTACCGAGCAGGCTGAGCACACCACGTCCCTTATACTGCATGGCTTCTGTAGATCGCCCCTTTATCCTACGCCCCAGGTCACCAGAGCTCTCCCCACCAGGTGCCGCTCAGGGATCCTCTGAGAAGCCTCTGTCCTGACAGGCCTGACAGGCCCTGGCCACCCTGCTCCAAGACACCCCCGGGCCCTTCCACCCCACTCCCTCTCTGGGCCCTGAGGTAGTGATCCAGAGGCTCAGGGAGGCGAAGGCCAGTGGGATGGAGGAGAGGGTGGGGAGGGGAAGTAGAAAGGATCTCGATTCAGTGCCCTGAATGGAACCTACACATCGAAAACCAACACTGATCAAAAACCGAGGGAAAGAATAATATACAGGGTCACCCCATATCCTTTGGAAACCCAGCCTCGGCTGCCATCCCATAACCTGGAGCAGGATGTGAGCTGGGCCCCCCAGGCCCGCCACCCTCCTCTGTGGGGAGCCCAAGATGCGCCCTCCAGGGTGGGGCTAGGGTGCGGAGAGCAGCAGGTGGAGGGGACCTGGCTGCAGGGAGCGGGTCCAGCCTGGAGTCCGACTCCGTCCTCTGCCCAGCCTCCCGGAACACCCTGCCGGCCCCCTGGACCCCAGCCACCTTCCGTATCCAGGCAGGCCACTTTCCAGGCTGATCTATGCAGGCTGTCCTGTCCAGCTGGGGTGGCCCAGGCCCCCAGAACCCACCCCCCTCTAGCGCTGTGGCACCCTTTCTTAACCCCCAGGTATTGGAGACAGTGAAACCAGCCAGGCCCTTTGCACTCAGCTACGTTCCCAACTTTTGTAACAACACTTTTCATTTTGCGACAGGGTCTCGCTGAGTCACTAAGTTGCCCAGCCTGGGCTTGAACCTGGAATCCTCCTGCCTCGGCCTCCCACAGTGCTAGGACTGGGCCACCGTGGTGAATTTCCTGGGCTGTACCCGTCCTGCGCCTGATCCAGAGCGTGTGGTCCCGACTCGCTTCCCGAGTCTGCAGAGGGCCGGTCCGCTCCCGGAGCCTGAGCCTTCCCGCCCTCGCAGCGTTCTGCGCCGGGGGCCTGGCTGGGGGAGGCTTTCTCGGTCGGGTCGGTGAGAGCCCCAAGCTGGCGGGGCGCCTTCTCCCGGGCTGCGGGAGGCCCAGGCGCTGCGCCCGGGCCGGGAAGCGGCCGGCGTCGCCCCGCCCCTCGCGGCCGCCGGGCAGCAGGTGCGGAGCCGCGCCGCCCCCGGGGTCTCGCGCTGCCGGGCGCGCGCTCGCTTCCCCGCGCGGACCGGACACGTCGCCGCGGGCCGGGCGGCCGGGCGGGGGCCGCGGCGCGCTCGCCTTCGAAAGATCTGGCTGGGCCAATGGCCGGCGGGGCGGCGTGCGCTGATTGGTGCAGCCGCTCTGCTGATCCCGGCCGGCGGGGATGCGCGGCCCGGGGCGGGCACGGGGACGCGGGGCGCAGGCCGGCTCGCTCCGCGCGGCAGGGGCGGGGAGGAGGCGGCGACGCAGACAAAAGCGGCGCGAGGCACGGGCACACCAGCGGGAGCCTGGCGGCGGCGGCATGGGCAAGGGGGGCAACCGGGGCGAGGGCGCGGCGGGCGAGGCGCCCGTGCCCACCTTCCGCTGGGAGGAGATCCAGAGGCACAACCTGCGCAACGACCAGTGGCTGGTCGTGGACCGCAAGGTCTACGACGTCACCGCGTGGTCCAAGCGGCATCCGGGCGGCCACCGGGTCATCGCGCACTACGCGGGCGAGGATGCCACGGTAGGGCGGCGCGGGGGGCGGGCGAGGTGGCTCTGCGCCCCGGGGCTGCCGCGCCCACCGTGGACGGGGCCCCGGGCGTGGGGCCGCGCGGAGGCAGAGCGTCCCGCCAGGGCCGATGATGCCCGAGAGCGCCCGGCAGCGCGGGCTCCCGGGCCGCGGGCCGCTTGGCCACCGGTCTGTTGGGCCGAGGTTACTCCGGGGCGTTCAACTCAGTGGCCCTGTGTGTGCACTGTGCACGCGAAGGCTGGTCCCCAGACGGCCCTCCGTCGCCCCTAGCAACCGCGAGCACCCCTCCCACCCCCAGTCTGATATCTGTGCTTGAAGGGGCGGCTGGAACCCCAAGGACTCAGACGAGTGACACCGAGGACAGAGAAGGGTCCGCTCTTGGCGGTGGTGTATGGAGCCTGGCAGGTTCCGGCGAGGGAAAACTCGGGAAGGTGCCCCGGAGGTGGGAAGGACGGGGGACTGGCCAGACTTGTCCAGGCAGGTCCAGGTCCTGACCTCGGCATTGGCAGCCCCACTCCGGGCCGCTCAGGGACAGGAGGCTGGTGAGCAGGTCCTGAGTGCTGATGGAGAGGACATGGGGAGGGGCCCAGCAGGGTCCTCATGGCGGCGGAGCGGCCACATCGCTGGTGCAGCGGCCACATCGCTGGTGCAGCCTCTGCCTGTCCTGTTTTGCTTGCTGCTTGGGGGGCTGCTAAGGCTGCCACTGCTGGAACTGGTGGGCTCTAGGTCGGCCTCCAGGGCGAGCAGACATCCCGGCGGCTCCAGCTTGAGGTCTTTCCCTGTTGCAGGGTCCTGGCCCGCCGAAGCAGGGTACAACCTAAGGTACCGTGTGGGAGGTTCCTGCCCTGCCTGCTCCCACCAGCAGGCTTCCTAGGGTGCTGGTGTGGTGGGTTCCGGTTGAGTGTTCCGCGTTGTCACAGCTCGCCTCACCTGGACCCGTCTGTCCATTGCCCTAACGTCCAGTCCTCCCCCAGATGTGCTCACTGCTGACCGACCTTTGTGTGAATTTGCCCAGCACCGTGCTCCGAGCTTGACTTTTGCAGGCCTCTCTGGTGGCTTGAACTCGAAATGTTAATCTCATTCCTGATCCCCCCCGCACTCTGCAGCCTCCCTTGGCAAAACTGGCAGCTTGGAGTTGGTTGTCCCGGTGCAGAGAGGCCGGGGTGGGAGCTGCAGAGTAAGACGGGGTCCCTGGGCGGGAGTGCGGGGTGTCGGGCTCAGAGCCCTCCTGACACACACCTGCAGCCCGGCCTGCAGACCTTGGTGGTCCAGCAGGCCACAGGTCTAGGCACCGGGGAGTTGCTGTAGTGTTGCCAAGTGGAGAGGGAGGATTAGGAAACAACTAGAAGGTAAAGTATGTAAAAAGAAATTTGGAAGAAAAAGTTTCAGTCCATTTTCTAGCTCACTGGTGTGGCAGACACGACAGCAATCCTGCTCTCCGGGCTTCCTCCTGTGGAGGTCAGACCCTGGGGCTTGGCGCGGCCTCACTGGGAGCAAGGTTTAGGACCGTGCAGGTGCCTGGGTGCCATGTGGCCTCACTTTATTCTTTATTTATTTACTTTATTTAAACCTGTGGAAATTTTAATCTGAAGTCACTACTACATTTAAACACACGTGATCCACACACAGACAACCATGGCCAAGACAGAAGCCTTTAAGAAAGAGAAGCTGTCTTTGTGTATCACAGTGTGAGGACTGGAATATGGAACCTGAGTGGCTGAGGTTTTGCGGAGTGGAAGCCGCCGAGGTGGTCCTCAGCATCTCCCGCCCCTTTAATTTGTATCGGCATAGTTTTCTGTTTTGGCTTCCGAGGAGGCAGAGTCGCCCTGGCTAGTCCAGGCCAGCCTCTCCTTTTGTCTTGCCTCACCCCCAGGGCTCAGGGATCTGCAGTTGAACCTGTCCCTCCTCCATGCATCGGAGCCCATGCTGAGCACGGAGTCCTGGGTTGCAAAAGAGGATTTATGTTTTGTACCTCCCTTATCCCTTAGTCCACAGGTTAGACAAAACAGATGCAAGTGCTACGGCCTCTTGTTTTTTAAGCGCTGTGGGGTGGTTGGAAAAGGCTTGGGGAGCAGACGGGACCTCTGGAGCCCCCACCCTGGGGGCAGAGACTTCTGCTGAGACTTGGGGAAGGGACAGGACTTCTGCTCTAGAGGTGCCTTGCCTGGAACCGGTCACCCTGCAAGGTCAGGCCCCGGAGGATAGGCCAGAGCTCAGGGCACCGTCCGGGGACACAGCAGTGGGGTGGGATTTTCAGTTCCTAAGGAAGAGGAACCTCAGCAGTTAGGGCCACCTCTCCCCTAAGGACGGACAGTTGTCACGTGCAGAAGTCAGAACTTGTCCTTGCTGTGGGACGACAGTCACTTGGCTGGGCACAGCTGGGCACGGCGGCAGTTGCCTGGAGTCCCAGCTTTACGAGAGGATTGCTTGAGCCCAGGAGTTTGGGGCCTGCCTGTAGCAAGGCCCGCAGTAAGCTGTCAAGCTGTCTTGTCTGTTAAAAAGCTACTTAGTTTTTTCGCTCACAAAGCATGCTGATAGATGTTATCTCCGTTAATCCTTGGATGTTTGTTCCTGCTCCGGTTTACAGCTCCCCTCCCTACCGCCTCCCCGTCTTCTGCAGACCTCGATTATCTATATCTCGTTCCTGCTTGTGAGCCCTCGCCTGCCCAAGCCTTTCCCGGCAGCCCATCCCACTGCCCAGACTCCGTCCTCCCAACTGTTCGTCAAACATTCGTTGCGAGTCTCAGCTGCTCTCAGCTGCTCTTGGCCAGTCCAGCGGCCTGCACTGAGATGAATAATTCAGGGCGGGCGACCAGGACCTCAGGGCCGGCACCTTTTCCTGCCAGCTGGGGCTGGATCCAGACCCCCGCCTCTGGACAACGCTGCCCTGCCCAGCGAACCTCATCTCCCCAGCTTTGCCCGCCCAGCTGTGCAGAGTCCGGCTGTGTCTCCTCCTGCCGAGCAGTCCCAGTGCTCAGATGGGAGAGCCAGGGTAGAGGTGCTGGGAAGGGGCAAGTGGCAGCATCCTCTCCTCGAACCAGGGAGGCTTTTGGGGCCCCTGCTGCCCCTGCTCCCCAAGACAGGGGTCCTGGGTTGGGCTTGTGGGACACACACCTCTGCCCCGGTACCTTCGTGGGCCCTTGGTGGGTACATGGCACAGGGCTGCCCTGCCCTGCTGCAGAGAGAAAGTCAGCACCCCTGGCCCACCTCCCTTCACCTCTGCCTGGAGCCGTGGAGCCGCAGGGCCCTTTTCCGCTTCTCCGCTCAGTCCCTGTGGTCAGGTCCCAGGAGCGCAGGGCCTGAGCCTGCTCGCCCTGTGCCTCCCTGTGCCTCCAGGCTACCTGCCAAGTGTAGAGTTGGGTGAGTGTCAGGTCTGCCCTTCAGGGCACCTGGGCACGTGCTGGTGCCCGGTGGAGAGCTGGTGGGGGGAGGAGGAAGTGGCGAGGATGAAGTCTCTGGGAGAGGCCGAGAAGCTGCTGGGAGACAGCAGAGCGGGACCGGAGTGTGGGCCCCGCCCACCCTGCAGCAGGACCTGTCAGCTCACCTGCTTGCCACCTGTGGCTGCTCCTGTCTCTTCCTGGAAAGATTTTGGCTTCTCTCCCTGCCAGGTGAGGATGGAGTTGGTTCCACCCAGTTCTTGTTCCAAAATCAACGTTTGGGTTGGCCCTACCCCCTCGACCGTGGCCTCCCACGAAGCAGCCAGGCCCCTGGGCACCACACAGTGCTTGGGAGCTTCTGAACATGTGCAGGGCTCCGTTAGGGGTGCACAGGGGCAGTGCAGAGCAGGCTGTGCCACTCCAGCCTGCGGTGTGTGTGCCTGACACGTGGATGAGCCGCCTCGCCTGCAGCCTTTTCATCTATCTGCTCACCTGGCACTGTGGCAGCTGGACAGAGCTCTGAGGTGTGGGTGCCGCGGACCATGGAGATTCTGTGGCCCGGAAGCAGGAGCCCAGCTGCACCATACAAAGAATGAGAGGGCGTGACTGGCTTCCGTCTGGGTGGAACGGCGCTCTGGTTTCAGGGTCCTGTGGCCTGGCAAGCCCGTAAAGCCTTGTGGCAGCTCTGTGGCAGCCCTGGGACCTGTGTGCCTCCCCTGAGGTGCCTGCCAGTGCCTTTGCACAGGTTGGCCATGGGTGTGACCCTGGGGGCCAGGCTGAGACACCTCTGTCCCCCCAACTCCAGGGGCTGGGGCAGGGCAGTTCGGAAACTCCTGCCGGGTGGTATGAGCCCCTCGGGAAGCCAGCCAGGCTCCCAGATCTGCCACGTGGACAAGACAGCGAGCCACACCCCAGGGTGCCTGAGGCAGGTGGGCCTGCACCTGAGCCTGCGGGGAGGGTACACGAAGCAGCTCCGAGTGTGGCCTGGCACACCTCAAGGCCACCTCAGAGACCCCTGGAGGTGGCTGGGAGCAAGCAAAGTCAAGGCGGGCCATGCCTTTGCCCCAGCAGTGCCTGCGGGGGTGTGTGACAAGGAACCGAGGTGGGCGGCAGGAAGGAGGCCCTCAGTGATCAAGCCCGAGGCTGTGGCTCTGCCCCGGAAGCTCCCCGCCAAGCACTTCCTGTTCGTTTCCCAGAGGTCTGGTGCAGAGGTGCCGCAGGCCCTGCCTGCCTGGTCCTCCTCTGTCTGCAGAGACGGGCCAGGGAGCCCTCCTCTTCCCCAGAAGTGTGCACGGTCCGCCCTGTGCCCTGCCCAGCTAGGGTGACAGGAGGTGCCTTACCCATGTTTTACTGTTCGCACCCTTGACGGCAGTCCGTAGTGGCCACATTCTCGGTGCGTGGATATTGAGATCACGAGTCTGTTTCTTTTGTCCCCTTCCTCCTCTCCCACTTATAAAACCTCTGTTTCCATTTTCCCATTCAGTTCTGTTTTTAAAATCCCTTTCCCTTCTCCCCTCCCCTTCCCATTTGAACAGATTCTTCCTTAGCCGGGGATTTAGCTCAGTGGTTTCACTGCCTGCTGCGCAAGCTCAAGGGCCCAAGTTCAATCCCCAGTACAAAAACAACAACAACAAAAAACATTATTCCTACTTTCTGATATCGTCCTGCGTTTGGCTCCTTATTCATACTTTGAGTTTCTCACACAAGACAGATAATGTGATACCTAAACTTGTTTTCCAATTTATTACATTTAAGATTATGGTCCCAAGGTCCATCCATTAACCTAGAAATATCTCAAGTTCATTCTTGAGGATAGCAGAGTAGTACTCCAGTTTATAAAAAAACCACATCTTCTTTATCCAGTCTCCCGTTGATGGGCACTTGGGCTGCTTCCAAGCTTTAGCTATTACTAACTGTGCCACTATGAACATGGGTGCACATATATCACTGTGGTATGATTCTTTTAATCCTTTGGGGAAGATCCCCAGCAGGGGAATAGCTGGGTCAGATGGGACCTCTAGTCCTAATCCTTTGAGGTATCGCCATACTGATTTCCACAGTGGTTGCACCAGTCTGCACTCCCACCAACAATTGGAGAAGGGTTCCTTTCTCCCCACATCCCCGCCAGCATTTGTTATTGGTCGATTTCTTGATAGCAGCCATTCTTTCTGGAGTGAGGTGGAATCTCACCGTTCCATTAATTTGCGTCTCTCGAATGACCAGCGATGTTGAGCAGTGTTTCGTTACTTATTGACCATTTCTGCTTTATCTGAGAAGTGTCTGTTCATTTCAGATGCCTGTTTTTGGACTGGGTCTCAATTTGGGGCCAGAGGTGTCTTTAAGACCCCGGGCTGGGTTTTCCCACAGTTGCTTTGTGTGTTCTGGACAGATGGGCCGTGCCCACCCCAGGACGCGGAGGAGGCTGGCAGGGTTTGAATTGGCAGTGTCTCCCCGCCTTCCCGATTTATTCTGGAATTTTCTGACATGGAGAGGCACATGGAGGACAGGTGTCTCACCTGGCTGCATGTGCTCCTTGCACACACGTCGTTCCGTGTGCACCCTTGGCACCAGGCCCCTGCTTTCAGCTGGGTCCTCGGAGCGAGGGCAGGGGAAGTGTCACAGTCAGGACGCCTTTGTCCCTTTCGGGAAAGTTCACACTTCCTCCGGGGATCGAGATGGGTCTGCCACTGCGCTCTGCACTCGCGTTGGGTCCCAGCGTGTCCATTTGACCTCTGTTCCCTCCATGCTGCTTTTCTGGCCCAGGCCCCGACGCCCAGATGCCTCTGCTGTCTGTCAGGGGCCCCACACCTCCGCCTCCCGAGCCGGTGCTTCCCCTCCTGGTCCTGGTGCGGGGTGACTTGTACCATTGGGACGTCTGCCGCACGGCCCAGGCGCCGAGGGCCCCGGGAGAGACCTGGGTGCCCCAAGCCCGGGTGTGGGGTATGCACGGTGTGCTGAACCAGGGGGAGGTGCACTAGCCATCAGCAGTGCCCCCTTCCTGGGAGATGTTTGCTTTCCTTTCTATTCTTCTGTGCATGTTCCAACTTGGCCAAAACTGAGCACATTTTTGCCTTATTACTAGTAAAAAAGGTTAAAATGCCTAATGTGATAGGAATGTTGGAGAGTTTGGACAGTGATGAAAACAAAGCGCACACAGCCCCGCCGGCGCGCACTCGTTCCGGGAATGCGCTGCACGCACTGCGTGTCCACGGTCAGCTGCCCTGGTCTCCCAGGCACCCGCCATGTGCGGTGGCCTGCAGGCTAGCTCCTTCCCTTGAGGATCGAGGGTTTGGGACGAGGGCCCTCTGGTGGTGGGCGCTGCCCGGCTGGGAGGCAGGTGGGGTTCCGTGTGGGCAGGGAGTCACACTGAGGGCACACGGGTGCTGCTGGTGGGCGCTGCTCCGGGGGCCGCCCGCCTCACCCGCCCCTTCCTCCAGGATGCCTTCCATGCCTTCCACCCTGACCTCGAGCTCGTGTGCAAGTTCCTGAAGCCCCTGCTGGTTGGTGAGCTGGCCCCAGAGGAGCCCAGCCTGGACCGCGGCAAGAGCGTGAGTAGAGCGGGAGCCCGGGTGGGCGTGCCGCCGGGCCCTGGGGTCGAGAGGGCCTCAGCGTCCCGGGCCAGGGCTGGTGCCGCCTGCTCCTGCGGCTGCCACTTCCTCCCTCCGGAAGGGAGCCGGGTGCTCACGGGCGAGCCAGCCTGGGGCAGAGCGGGCTGAGGAACTCCTTCTCTGCTGTCCTCGGCTTGAGCAGCCTTGGACCCGTGCGGTCCCGGGCCTGGGCCCCCAGCCGGTGGCCGGGCTCCTGCAGAGCTGGGCTGTGGCCCGTCCTTGTTACGTCTGGGCGGCTGTCCTGGAGACAGCGTCCGCTCCGGAAGGGCTGCGGCCCCACTCTGTGTCCTTGGCTGCAGTCCGAGATCACCGAGGACTTCCGGGCCCTGAAGAGGATGGCCGAGAACATGGACCTGTTCCAGACCGACCACCTGTTCTTCCTGCTGCTGCTGGCACACATCGTGGTCATGGAGAGCGCGGCGTGGCTCATCATCTCCCACTTCGGCAGCGGCTGGCTCCCCACGCTCCTCACGGCCTGCATCCTTGCCACGGCCCAGGTGAGCTGCTCTGCCCGCCCCACCCCGCCCCGCGGCCAGGTGCTGCTGCCCTGACGGCCTCTGTCCCACCCCAGGCCCAGGCTGGGTGGCTGCAGCACGACTATGGCCACCTCTCCGTGTACAAGAAGTCCGGGTGGAACCACGTGGTGCACAAGTTCGTCATCGGCCACCTGAAGGCAAGTGTGGCCGGCCGGTGCGCGGGGTGGCAGGGCCCCTGCAGAGACTCGCTGGCCCTGCTCGGGCCCTGCTGGGTCCTGTCTCCGTGCAGAGCCGGCCTCTGACGTCACACCTGCCTTCCTCTCTTGTCCCCCGGGAGCGGCGGACGTGCAGACAGCATCTGGAGGGGAGATTGCCTCTGGCCTCTGTCTCCTTGCTGCGCTTGGCTCCCGAGGGCCGGGTTGTGCTGTTGTCTTCATTTTAACTAACCTGTCCTGAGTCTTTCTCAAGCCATCCTGAGCGCTCCTTGGAAATGTGCAGAGTGCAGAAAGCACTTAGGGCGCCCCTCAGTTTACCATGCGGTTGCTTAAGTTTAAAATATCTTAAATTGAGCTGGGTGTGGTGGCGCACGCCTGCCTGTGATCCTGGTACTCAGGAGGCTGAGGCAGGAGGACCACCGTGAGTTTGAGGCTACATAGTGACTTCAGGGCCAGCTTGAACAACTACAGTGAGGCCTGGCCTCAAAAAAACACCAGAAAGAAAAGCTGAGTCAGAGAGACTCAGCCTTCCTGCCCTGGGTCGGGGGGGCGGGGGGGGCTGCAACCACAGCCCGCTGGGCACTGGGCTGGAGGGTCTGGATCGGTGGGCATGGCCCCCAGGCCCAGCAAGTGGCCCGCCCAGCCCTGGCTGCAGGGCCTGGAACTGGGCTCTGAGCCTGGTGAGGCAGCGAGGTCTGCACAGTTGGGCTTTGTTTCCTCTTCCTCCTGCGGATAAAACCTTCTCAGTCCTGGAAAGTGACCTTCCCTCCCGAGGGTGTCTGACCGCACAAAGGTGGGCTGTCCTTTCCCAGAGCTGGGGCTGGGATTTGCCACCCCGGCGAGCCCTGGCCACCCTGGAGCACAGCGCTGGCGTCAGCAGGGCCAGGCCTCCTTGGAGACTCTGACACGGTGAAGGGATGGGGTCCTTGGCTCAGTGCGGTGCCACCTCCTCCCAGCTGTGCTCCAGGCCAAGTGGCTCACCCAGGGACCCCCAGCGGGACGCTGCTGGGGTCCTCAGCCGCCAGCTGGGTGCCAGGCATTGAGCCCCGGTTGGTGAAGCAGGGAGCACGTGCCCGGGTGGGGCTCCACCCAGGGCTGCTTGCCTGGGCCGCCCTCCCGGAGGATGGACGTCCTCCAAGGAATTGTCTTCCCCTGCAGGACGGGGTTGAACGCAGGGCCTTTGTGCTGAGTGACCCCCAATCCCTTTCTCCATGTGTGACAAGGTCTTGTTAAGTTGCCCGGGCTGGGCTGGGTTCGACCTGGCAGTCTTTCCCACCAGGGCTGAGCTGAGGCATGGGAACCATGCATATTGGTTTCTCTTCCCCAGAGCATTAAAGCCACTATAAAAATGCTTAAAGTTTGGGAAATCGGTGTGTAAAAGTTCCCAGATTATTTTAGGTTTGAATGTCTTATTTATTTGCTCAGTTTGTTGGTTAGTTATTTTTTTGAGACACGGTCTCGCTATGTAGTTCAGGCTGGCCTTGAGCTCACGGTGGAGCCCAGGCTGGCCCCAAAGTCTTTCCGATCCTCTGCCTCAGTTTCCTGAGTGCGGGAATGACAGGCGTGCACCACCACCCTCTGCTTTTAAGTGTCTCATTACCCCAGAACACAATTCATGCTACTCCTGCTTCACCGTGAGCTGGGGCTGGGGCCTCAGTCAGCCCCTGGGCCTCCCTCGACAGCCACTCGTCCCTCCCGCTGGCCAGCCTGCAGCCCCAGGCGCTGTCCTCAGATTTCCCCGCCCCTCTGGTGGGACGAGTGGTGTCCACTCCTGCCAACTCCCAGAACAAGGGCCCTGTCCCTGCTTCACTGCCCAGCCTCAGTCTGCACAGCGGCCGGCTTAGGGTGGGCAGGACACAGGCAGGGTCCGGCTAGTGACTCTCCCAGCAGGAGGAGGGATCGTGCTGTCCGGGGACAGCGGCCCTGTGCCCCAGCTCGCTCAGGCCCACCTTCCGTTCTTCCTGGTTCACCGAGCAGATGTCCTTGGGCCGATGTCCTTGGGCCATTTCCACTTTGTTCTGGCGGAGCTGGGGGTGGTGCCGGGCCCTCGCATGCCTGCCGGGCTCCTTCCTAGGCTAGCAGTGAGGCGTCCTGCTCTCCCGGCCCTCTGCCTTGCTCCTGCAGGTCTCTGCCAGGGACTTTCCCATTTGCTTCCTCCGGGAAGTGTGTCCCTTTTGCCTTTGGATGGAACATGTTGTCGGATTCCCAAACCTCTGGGCTCTGCTGGGAGGGGTTTTTGGTTTTTTTTCTTTTATACCGGGGATGAAACTTAGGACCTTGTGCTTTCGAGGCAGGCGTAGCGCCACTGAGCTACATCCCCAGCCCTGGGCTCTGCTGGTTTGCAGGCCCGGCAGCCGCAGGGCCTGGGGTTGAGACTGAGGCCAGGCTGTTCGGCACTGGGCCCACCCTTGGCCGTCATTGTCCAGAGGCTGCGGTGTTGCCAGAAGCGCCTCCTGGAAAACATTTGCTTTTCGTAAAGAAGTCTTTGTGCGTGTGGCCAGGCCCACAGCCAAAGCACAGCCCCGCTTCACTGAGATGCGCCGCGTACCCCGTGCTGAGTGCGCAGGGCGGCTGCTGGTGGCTTGCTGAACAAAGGATTCACAGCGCAGGCCGCCATTGTCACAGCTGATGTGCGGGCGGCTCTGTCACCTCCGCTTTGGCCTCCCCTCCCGCCCCGCCCTGGGCACTGGCCTTCCTGTCTTGTGGACGTCGTGCCGACGGCATCTGTCCCAGGCCAGGGTCCTCGTGACCGCCTCCCTTCCCTCAGTGCGGGTGTCCGGGTTCGCGCGGGCTGTGGCCCGGGTCCTGTCTCTGTCCTTATGGCACGGCCGCACTCTTCTGAGTCACATTCTTGTTGCTGAGACCCAAGACCCAGCAAGGCAGCTGCTCACCCTGCTGGGGTTCAGCCTGGGGTCCAGCACCAGGCCTTCTCACTACTGCCACCGTCCTCGGGGGGAAACTAAGGCCGGAGCTGCTGTGCCCTGCTTCAGGGCCCTGGGTGTGCTAAGAAGCTGGCCGGGCTGGCAGAGCCAGATCCTGGGCACGGCCGTAGGGCTCACCAGAGTGTCTCCCTGCAGGGCGCCTCCGCCAACTGGTGGAACCACCGCCATTTCCAGCACCACGCCAAGCCCAACATCTTCCACAAGGACCCGGACATCAAGATGCTGCACGTGTTCGTCCTGGGCGAGTCGCAGCCCCTCGAGGTACAGCTGGGGGACTGTGGGACGTAGGAGGTGCCGAGGGGCGGATGGTTCCCGTGGGTGGACAGGCACCTGGCAGCAGCAGCGTGCCTGTGCCACACAGAGACCTGCCCCAGGCACCCGGTTCCTCGCTGGGATGGGGTGCGTTCATTCCACGGCTGCCTCCGTCCACACAAGCCAGGTCCAGCCCAGTTAGCAGGAAAGCGGATTCTGGGGCTCCCTGTGGACTGATGGTGGCTCAGGTTCGGGGAGCTTTACCTGGACAACACAGTCCCTCCCCGAGGACCCCCCACCTGGCCCCAAAACATGATGAGGCTGGAGGGGCGCGGGGCATATGTTTGGGGGACGCTGCCTGGCAGGTCTTCCGACCACGGCTGTCCTGCTGACGCAGCCACTGTCTTATTTGAATATTCATTTGGATTTTTATTTATTTTTTTTTTTGGTACTGGGGATCAAACTCAGGACCTTGTACTTGTGAGGCAGGCACCAGAACCACTGAGCTAAATCCCTGGACCTTATTTGGAT